GAACTGTCTGCAGTCGACGTCCGGCGTCCTTGTTCAAGGTCAGCTGTCCCAAGGTCATCCACAATCTTGGTCAGCGCTTTCAGAAGCGCTGACCTGCAGCGTCTTGACCGACTTCCACTCGGACACACACACTTGCGTCCAGGTAGTCGCAGCTGCTCAAATGCTCTTTCCCCCACCCTTGGCCAACAGAGCCTACGCCACCAGACACGACAACCCTCGGGCACTGCCACAGGCACCAATTGGAGAACACTTGAACCTGCTCCGCAATCCTACTTAAGCAATTGCCACCACGGTCTCCTGCTCTCTCGGGCCTGGCTGGACGCAGTCAACATGAGCCCTGGCTTCGCCAGTGGCCACTGCCGTCTAAGAGGGCAACTGAGAGGTCTGTATACGATGAATCCTTCCAACATGTGCCTTCAGCGCCTGATGGTTGCAGGGCGCTAAGCACAAACAGTGCTTGTGAAGGAATTAGAGTCAATTCGCAAGAGGTGTTCTACTTACACATTAAAGGACAGTTGCCGTTTTGTCGACGAAATTAGGCACTAAAATATTTCTGACAAACACATTATATCCTTGGACGTTGAGTCATTATTTACCAACGTTCCCCTGGATTAAACTATAGACATCATTTGTGCTTATTCCTCTGACACTCGTCTGTCCCCTGAAATACTACAGAACTTATTACAATTGTGTACAAAGGATGTCCAAATTTTCTTCAATGGTGAATTATATCGACAAATTGACGGGGTGGAAATGAGAAGTCCACTTGGACCCACCCTTGCTGACATATTTATGGGCCACTTAGAAGATAAAGCATCCTCCAAATTGAACATTACTACACTCTATAGACGATAGATGGATGATGTCTTTGCTGCTGTAGACAACCCAAGGAAAGCCGAAGGATTATTGTCTGCAATGAACAGTCTGCATCATAAGATTAAATTTACTATGGAACAAGAACAAGAGAACCAGCTTTCCTTCCTCGACGTTCACTTGTCCAGACAGAAAGATGGCTCCATTACACGGACGGTCTTCCATAAAAATACATAGAAAGGTCAGTACTTGCATTATCTGAGTTTTGGTACCATTCAATGGAAACGCAATTTGGTACATACTCTTTTCCAGATGACCAGAAAAATATGTTCTATGGATACATTGGATGCTGAATTAGCCAGCCTCGATGATACCATAATGAAGAGAGGATATCCAACTCTGTTTACAGACTAGTAAACCCCTACGACCTAAAATGACTGAGTAGTTAGCACCTAAAAAGCCTGTTTTCATTTCCTTGCCCTTTAA